TTCACATGTATCCACTTATTCCTCTTAGGCTAGGCTTTGTCACAGCTGACTTTCACCTTGGAAGAATGTCCTGTGATCTTTATAAGAGAGCTTCCACAATCCATAGCCATGGCTTCATCTGGGTTCTGTGGAAGCTTCAGAATTTCCATCTCAAGACCCTTTGGAGTACAGCTGTAGGCTATAAAACTACTTAACTGCAGCAGGGAAGGGGACGCCCTACCCTTATGTTGATTATCATGTCATCTGGCTCCTTTTCTGTTTGTGTCCTTCTGTGGGACAAATATAGAGAGATGGTACCTTTGTCCATCTTTTTTACCAGCTTTGTAATTAAATTTTCTAGTGAGAGCTTGTTTCCTTACTGTGTGAATCTGTCCGTCTTGCTTAACATTTCCCACTCAGGACTTCAATCCTTGTTCCCTCTGGCTGTATTAGTGGCACATGCCAGTAATCCCAGTGGCTCAGGAGGCTGAGACAGTAGGATCCAGAGTTCAATCTGTTTTCTCATCCTTGAGGTCTGAACCTAAAGGTTACATCTACCTGCTCAAGTATCTCTACCCTCCCACCCTTGCTATTCCTTGAAAATCCCTGTGCCATCACACAAGTTAGGATCATTAGTTAGTTGAAACACAATGACAGTGGTTAGTGATCTGGGTGTGTCTGCTGTAATTCTGGGTGGTGGGGGAAGCCCATGAGTTCAGATATCCAGTTTGGGAACTCATACTTCTGTATTAGTTCTGTCCAAGTAGAAAGTCCTATAGAGGCATTAGGCCAAGACARCTATTTACCCTGAATTCAGGCATCTAAATTGAGGCTTTAGAAAGAGACATTTTCTTTGCTATTATCAAATCTCCACCCCAGGATTACATTCCAATGTCTTTGGCTTATTGTTCTTTAGCCACAGAATATCTGAATCCACTCAAATCTCTGAAAATATAGTCTTTATCTAAATCTTAGTCATGGGAAAATCCTATAGATTACAATGTGATATTTTTTACATTAAAAAAATGTTTTGAAAGTCTCTATTTTTATTAGTTAATGCACCTTTTTATTTTCCTACAATGTCTAAGGTTTGTCAGTATAATTTGTTTTAAAATGATTATATCTAGACCCTGCCTAAAAACACAGAGCATTGTAACAACACCACAGTTTTGAAAATTGAAGGGTTTTGAGTGTTGGAAATAGAAATCTATATAGGTCCCAGTATGTTAGGCAAAAAGTATAGAAGCTACAATCAAAATTTGAATCACTTGTTTAATATACAAAGTCTTTCACAGATCTTTATTTTCTTTTCCTTAGTTTGTCTTAGCACACATTATTCACAAACAGTATATTGTTAATGAAAGAGAATTAGGTAAAACTAAAAAAAGTACAAATGCCCAATCTCAAAAATTGCACACAGTTAAAATAATTTTTCTTCTTTGTTTCAATGCAATATCCAATTTCAAGGTGGGCTTTCTTTAGATGTGGAGGAAACACTGCAGCCCAAAATAACAGTACTTCCTTTCAACTCTTGATATGTAAAATAGCACCATTGGGCTGATTTGAGGAAAGAAAAAAGGTTTTCATCTTTCTTAATTAAAATGTAATCCTTACACAGTTATTATATGATAACTACAATAATAATGATAATAAATTTTAAGACCTCTACTTTGTTCCAGAAAAATCATTGTCAAGGCAAGGAAAGATAAATTAAATCTAGCGGATGGAATGGCCTTCCTGCCCCATGACCATTACCATTATAATTTCTCTTAATGATGTCATTGAGCTAATGAGCTAATTTTCCAGCCAAAGAATAGATGTTTTAAGAGTACCAAAGGACCTTTCGTAGTACCAAAGGACCTTTCGTAAAACAAGAAGTACAATCAAGGCCATCTTTCTACGACCATAATTACACTGTAACAGCAGCTCCTACTGAGATGTAATGCTGGGGCATTTTGAGAAAGATTCCTTCAATTTCTGCATTGCTGTCCCACATCCTTGGGATCACTTATATTTTAATTTTGTTAAAAGAAATCTTGTCTTGTTTGTTTTTGTTCCTAAACTTAATTGCCTTTTGGGCTTCACTTTTTAAAAGTTGGAATTTCAYTTCTTTACTGCTTTAATCTTTAATCCTATACAATGAAGGTGACAGTTCTTTAGTTAAGAAATTAACAGCCTCAACAGGCAGGGTGGCACATGCCAATAATCCCAGTGGCTCAGGAGGCTGAGACAGTAGGATCCAGAGTTCAAAGCCAGTCTCAGAAATGCTGGGTGAGGTGCTAAACACTCAGTTAGACCCTGATTCTAAATAAAACAAAATACGGTTGATGTGACTCAGTGGTCAGATATGCCCCTGAGTTCAATCCCTCGTACTTGGGGGGGGGGGTGCAGTAGCCTCAATGTTTGTAGTTCATGGTATTGGCAATATCACAAATTTGGGTCATAATTATAAAAAGCCAAAGTTTTAAACAGYTGTAGGTTCATTCTTCAATTTCCGTTCTTTGCTTAAATTTCATTTTGTTTCTGACATGAGCAGGTAAACATGCCTCAAAAAATTGTCATTCCATAGCTCATTTTTTCTTTTTGAGAGATAAATCAGTTCACCAAAAAGCACTGCCACAAAGCCAAATATTTTCAGTGATGAAAGGAAAAAGGTACCATTGCCATAGGGAATGTAAATGAATCAACATTAGGTTTTAAGTGAATGTAGTTGTTCCAAATCAGGTGAACCACAAACATCCATTGCAGGAAAGCTTTTTAATGAAACTTTTCTGCAATGAATTTTTTAAAATGAAATTCAGGTTAGGATTTTGAAAGGTCAGAAGAAGAACAGAATTAAATGTTGACTTTTATCCTGTTAGGGAGCTTTATTATTTTCTCATTTCAATAAAATCAAAACCTAAGAAAGTTAATTTTGAGACTTTGGGCACAGTTTTAAAACCATTTCATCTTTTATCACTAATAYAGCAAAGCTTGTCTTAGCTTTTTAGAAATGTTTCTTAGTGTTAAATGTAGCCCTTGATAAGTAAGGTTTTATTTTAGCCAATCATCTCCCACTGTGCAAAGATATACTCTTATCTATTTGGGATTTAAAACAGTATTTTCCCTGGTAATTAAGGTAAATAATGCTTTTCTTTCAGAGCAAACAAAAGGGGAATCAATATTTCTTTGTTTGCTAGAGATGAGATTTTCTCCCATGAAATATTTGCAAGCAACATATTGCCCTTGCTAAACCGTAGAGAAATGGATTAAGCAAATTAACAGGAAAATACGATCAAGGTTAATTCCTTGGGTGTGGTGCTATGATTAAATCACCCAAGCTTTGTTATTTTTAGTACATTTGTCTTCACACTTTATAGGGGAAGTTAATGCAAAGTTTAGTTTGTTTAAGGTTCACTGAAGTCATTCCTGCTGTAGTTTTGGTCCAGTTTAATAACCTCCACTTTGTTTTCCTTGTGCCTTTACTCCATCCCCTAAAAGTTTTAAGAAAGATGAGTTTTAAACCTTTTGTTTCCTGACTGAATACCTTAACATTTTTCTCACATATATACATGAATACACACATGCCACACACACAAAATCAACATTGTTTACCTTTTCTTTATTTCTAGGAATGTGGCTATTTGGACTCCATATCAGCCACTACTAATATCCATACTTTCTCCTCTTTTTAAAAGGTTATTTTTTTTCCTTTGATAATCTGTGAAGAACAAGCACACTGATAATTACAAAGTGCATTGATGTGATACCCAGATTTGTGCAATGTGATACCCATGCTTTGGTTCTTATGGCCTTCTCTGCCTTTTCACAATAATAAATATGATAGCTAATAAAAATCACTTTTTTACTAGGCCATCTTTCTTTAACAGGTCACTATGCTTGTAATTATTAATCTAGCTCTCTGCAATATCATTCACACTTCAGTTTTATATGAGTATTTAAAGAATGCAATAATCAATTGTCAAACCTAAACAACTCAATTTATTACTTACCATAGAATCTGTTGAATGTTTTTGCTTCTGAACTGTCAAGGAATATACTGTCAACTTTTTAAAATAAGATCTAGTTTGTGGCTGTAACTACTTATCAGTCAAGTTGACACTCATATGGAGTAAGAAAAACACTTGTGATTTAATAACAAAAATACTTAATTTTTATTTACCTATTGTTGCTTCATTGTAGCAAACAGAAGTTAATTTCACAATTTTGCTACAAGCAGATTGCTTTTTTAAAAAATTTAGTTTTCTTAGAGAAATGGCAACTTCATCTAATTCTTCAAACCAGGACACTTAATTTGATTTATTTAGTGCTTTGTAAAATCATAACCCTTCAATGAAACTTGAAAATAAAGGAATAAATTAAGCTTTTATTTTGAAATATTCAGCCATTAAATAAAGTAAAGCCTTAGTCTCTAATTAGGGCCATGCTATCCAATTTAGTTCATTCAAACAGGTGTGTTGTGAAATGCATACTGRGTTTTGATTTTGAAGAATTGATTTAAAAAAACGACTGTTTCAATAATGTTTTACATTGATAGCATATGGTGTTAAATTATAAAAATTAATTACACCTATTTACTTTTTATAAAGGGGCTACCTGTAAATTTAAAATTTGCATTTGTGCTTACATTTGTAGTTCAAGTTGTATTTCTGTTGGACAGGACTGTATTAGAAGGGCCAGGTAAAATATAGGACCCGTTAGACGATTTCAACTTTTGTGGGCATTTAAAAGAGCTAATTTCACCCAATAATCTTATGAAAATCTTTTGTTCATGATTCAAACATAGTTCCAAGTATTACTATCTTCAAATGTGTATTGCATCCATTTTTATAACATGCATCTGTCAAAATAACCAGACTTCACTATTGCCATAAAAATCTGTCAGCTGTCAAAGAATATCAAAATATGCATCCTCCAAGTTTGCTTCCAGTATGACAGGAATAATGCAGACAATTTCAGGCTTAAAACCAGATGTGTTTATCCAGATGAGATAGCTAACATTACAAGACCCTTAGAAGAAACACATGTTACAAGTCAAGTCTATATTCTTGAACTTTTCCCCTGCTACTACGAAGAGTATCATGTGTCCATTTAATTTGTCATTGCCTAAAAGCATTCCGGTACCAACAGTTCTGTATTGTCTTAGAAGTCATTCTCTAGCCATCTTCACATTTCCATATCACACTTCAGGCTCCCTTCCTGGTGTCCTGCTCATTTGATGTTTTTTCCTTCTGTCCTTTTTGAGCAAAGTAAGGAAAAATGAGTCAGTAGGAGCAAGGAGCCGATAAAGAAGTGAGTAATGCAGGATCGCTTCAGTCAAGTGTAGTGGCTGAGGCTAGAAAGACGGTCTTCTGAGAAGAAACTGTCAACTGGTTCCATCAAACTGGTATGACTTCTGGGGGACCGCTCTCTGCAGACGGCAGTGAATTTGTACCCGTTTGTGATACTGGCACCACCACAGCCTCCTTGGTGTCCGTATTTACATTACACGAGAAGTTCTTCTCCAGCTTATTGGCAGTGTCTGGGCAATTTTGCACAAAGATCACACGGTTGTAGGCCTTCAGCCTGCGCCACAATTGGACATAGACTTTACACTGTACATACATGAAGACGAGACCTCCTGTGAAGCCAATGGCCACCACAACCAGTTTTGTCCAAAATGGCCATTCAAGGACACCTTTGAAATAAAAAGAGAATGTTATCACCAAGTTGTCATTAATGGTTTTGGGTATTTTTTCCTTTGGCCCCCTTCAGAAGACCAGACCTACTTGCTAAATTATGTTAATAGAAATATTTTTAATAACCAGGAAGATTTGTAACCTAATTGGCTTAATTGCTTTCAGATATTCTAAATATACAGCTAAAATTGCATATGAAGAAATTTTCTCATCTATTGTTGCAGTGACCTCTTGCATCCAATATCTGCTCTAATCATCAGATACTGTGTTAGACATTGGGCACTTTGACGTTTATTCCTTATAGCTAAATCTTGAAGGATCGTGAACACACTGAAAGGATCAGAGTTCAAATCCTTTTAAGAAGGTGAAATAATGCATATATATGTAGGCTTATGCAGACTAATCTCCCTACATGCATTCCCTGTGAGAGAAGCCTGCCATATCCTTCTCACTAAACAGACAGAATTTCTGCGGACAGTCATGCAAAGGACTTAAGGTTTTCGTTGCTTGTTTCATAAATTTTTATATTGTCACAAAGAACCATAGCTTGGATGTGGTGGCACACATCTGTTATCCCAGGGACCCAGGAGGTTAAAGCAGGAGGGTCACAAGTTTGAACCCAGTCCCAGTAATTTAGTGACCCCCCTGAGCCATAAAAGGTTTGGGAGCGGGTGCTAGGAAGGTAGCTCAGTGGTCTTGTGTCTCTGGGTTTAGTTCCCAGTACCAAAAAAAAAAAAAAAAATCCTAGATACGTGTATTTTCTTCTCATTTCCCATACCATTACTAGATACAAGCTTTCTTTCACAAAGAAACAGTTTTTACAACAGTGAGTATATGGCCACACCAGGATGGTGTGGGGGACATATTTGCTATATGTGAAAAACAGTCAAGTGAAAGTGTGGCTCTGTAGAGAAGGACAGTAAAAGTAGATAGAAACCACAGCAAGTCTATGGTTCTATGTTTTTATAAATGTGAATGAGATTTCTACCTTTTGTTAATAGTGACATTTGCTTTATGCTTCTGAAAGCAAAATTGACAGTACCTCTTTTCTATCACAAAAGATTATCTAGAAGTAACAGGGTGTCCTGTCAATTCCTGGTCCCAAATATGAAATATGGAACATTTGTATGCCCAGACTCCACAGCAAAGACAATGTTATTCTTGACGTTTACATAGTTAATATTGCAAGTATTGTCAAACTCTTACAGACATGATAATCATGTGATAAGATTTTAGTTTTCCACTGTGGAAAAAGCTAATGCAAACTTAATAATCATAGTAACTTTTTCATATTTTTAAATTCTTACTTTTTCTGTTTTTCTATATTTTCTTTTAAATACCTGTTGTATTTGTCATTTGGCAAAATAGACTGAAGTCTGGACTCATTTCAACCTTTCCAACATTTTTTTTTTCTTAAAATGTTTGCCTCTAACTCTTTTGGAAGAGAATTGGAAATTTTGGAAGAAATGCTCTCTGAATTTAAAAGTTATGTTACTGACATAAAAAACCTCTCACTATTGTTGATGTTTTATTCATTTGTGGCTCTGTTTAGCACTGTTGACCTAAAATGAATTTTTATGCTTCTTTCAGTATCAAATCTGAAACTTAATTTTGCAATGGATCAAATATATTCAAAAGAATTTATTCAAACCTTCATGGCTAGCAAAGATAAATGTTTTCTCTAACTTCTGATTTGCAAGGACTTCCTTTTGATTTAACCAACTCATGGTGTCAGCATCCTGAACATATCCTTGATCCCAGTGGAAATAACACTTCAAAATATCATTTGTCAAAGCTCACACAAGTAGAAAATGGGTAATAATAAGTCTATATCAAAGAAATCAAARTCAACAATTGGTAACCTTTCAAAGCAGAAAGAACTAACCCAGATAGTTTTATTAATGTATTCCTCCAAACATCTTTCTACAAATCTAACCTTATTCTAAAATAGTTTGTTATAAAAAGAATGTATATCACTAAGGTTAGTTCCATGAATTCAAGCCTGTCTAGGACAGACTAAAATCTCATAGTGAGATGACTTTGTCACCATTTAAGTATTTGGAAGTTGTAATATATGTGTATCTATAGAAACTATCTCACCCAAACACCTCATATCTTGAAACTATGCCCAATTTTGTTCCTAAAATTTGCTGTGATCAAATATCTCTGTTTTATACTTGTGTTCAGAAGCCTGATTTCTGTCACCCGAAGCCTTTTTTTTAGTAAACTTTACCTAAAATCCTATCGGTGTAGCTATTTCCCAAACATCCCATTTTCTAACACAGATCCATGCTTTAGCATATGCTCTTCCGTCTGTCCTCTTTACAGTAACCTACTAATTCTTCAGAACCCACCCCAGGGAGAGAAGAGTGCAGTCTCTTTCATGAGACTGGCAAACATAAATTCATGTCCTAATTAGTGACAACACTATCCTCCTAATTGCTGTCATAGCTTAATGGTCCCTAACACCCCAGTCTAGGTCAGCCTCTGAAGTTGGCACACAAAGCAAAATCTCTTTGCCATTGAGGCTCAGGAGAAGCAAACACATTCTCAAAATGTTGCAAATTGTTTGTATAGAAACTTTCTGAATGTTAACTGGTTAAATGTTACTTTAGAGTAAAATGGAATTATTCTGAATATAAGGACAGACACTGGAGTTTTCATGTCTACCTACTTGAGTCAGAACCTTGGAAAACTAATTAAGGTATAATGGCAGTCAACTTTTTAAAGGAACAGAGATCAATTATCAATGCATTTACTTAACAGAAGATGCTATTTTTAGAAAACAAATTGGCAAAAAACCACCAAAAAACAGAACTTTTGATTTTAGAAACTCCAGAGTACAAAAATGGACTATCTCAGATATTTGGCAGTATTTTGTTGGTCACATACTGTTTCCATTGTCCCACACAGCTAATCTTTGATTTTAAGGATAGTGATTTTCACATTGGAGGTCTGCTACCTGGGTTTGATTTCTATAAGCTGATGTATTTGCTATCATGTGTGTTGAATGACAGCACTGGTCTTATCTAAGTGATAATAATGATACTGTATCATGTGTTCTAATACCCTCCAGAAACCTTTTCATTGAGGGATGGAAAAACAGAAGAAATTTTAAAAATTGGGGTATACAAATGTTTTATATTTATTCATAAATTTCCCAATGTGCTTATTACGACTTCTTGAATTGTGCCCTATCTGGTAGCATCAGTCCCTCATCTAAAGATTTCACTCCACTTTTCATAATGGACCACATAATCTGTACTTGAAACATATTCCTACATTTGTTTATTTGTTTTTGTAACAATTGCTTATTGTTGTACATTTCAAAAGATCAACTTCTTTATGAAATACAAATTTTTTTAGGTTAAAAAATAGACATTGCTCAATTCTTGATTTTTTATTTTTAGTATTCCAGCAAAAAAAAAAAATGAACTAAAAATGCAAAGTTCAAGACCTTTAGAGTCTGTCTATTTCAATTCTCCCATCTTCCTTTTTCTGCTATTTAATGCTAATGTGGAGACCATGACCCAATGATCTTGATCTAGTAACCTATGATAGTATTGAAATTTGGTTTGCATATTACATAGAAATAGCAATTAACTTGCTATTTTTATTTAAAATATTTTAAGTCAAAGCCTTCATAAATGATTTTAGGAGAAATTCTGACAAATAAGCATATGGGATAATTTTAATATTCACAAATAAATGGTAGCACACATTTAGAGATGGCTGGATCTGAGGGCTGTTCTTACTGAATGCTAAGGAGTATAGTGGTATCAAAATGTAGTTAAAAATAAAAAGAGTTGAATTCCTCTCTATGTAGAGTCCTTGTGTTTGGAGTGCAGGAGGGCTTTTTTAGCTCCTTTCTTAGTTCTCTCCATCTGCATGAGAGGAACCATCATCTGGCATGCCAACTCAGTGTCAACTATAAGTTTTCAACCATGGCTAGTTTTGTCTCCTAGGGGACATTTGGGAATGTCAAGAGACATTGCTTACTGTCATACCTGGAGTTGGGTTGGGGTGGTACTGATCCTTAGTAAATAGAAGCCACAGACTGAATGTCCCACAATGCATAATACAGCCACCCTCCGCCCCTGCCCCCATCAACAAATATTCAGTCCAAAATGTCAGTAGTGCTCAGGGTGAAAATCCCTGTGCTAAATTCTCCAAATTTAGAAGGACTTTTGCTATAAGCTATTATTTTAAGCAGTAGTTTCTGTGTTTAGAAAGCTTTTAGCCACAGACTGGAGATGAAGTGTGCTTTATCTCCCATTTTTAGGGAAATCCCCATGGATTACATCCAATTTTCCCTTCTGTTTGCTAAATCAAACTACCAGCTGTTCCTCATAAATGCCTGGAGATTTTCCACTCCTGAGCTTTTCTCCATGATATTTCTTTTCTTTGGATTTTGCTTCCCAACTTCTGCATGTCTCCTGCCCCACAACCCAACTCAGAAGTAATTCCTAGCTGAAAATGAACTTTCCCAGTGTCCCAGTTCCAAGTTATTTCTCTGTTTGTGGAATGGGTCCACTTTCTCTTGCAACTGTTTTAACCTCGATATCCTATAATCTTGACAAATACAGAATTTGTCCGGTTGGTCTTTGTTTTCAACAGTGCCTTGCTCAGTAGATATTTTAGAGATGAATGAAGATTTTACAGCTTCTCTTGTCAGTGAATCTCTGCTTTTGTTGGTAGACAATCTCAAGAACTCTCCTCATGCCCCTCCTCTCCTTCTGGAACTAGTGACCCGAATCCATAATTTACCAGTAGGTCTGAGCCAGGAGTAATCAGCTGTCTTTTTTTCTGCCTGTACTGGGAAATTTTGTGTGATCCCTCCCCTTTCTTTTACAAAGTAGCTATGAATCAGTTTCCTCTGCCCAACACATCCTTCCTTAATCTGTTCTTGGGAAATCAAAGCTCACACTAAACCCCTGGGCTGAATTTAGAGTGGTGAGACCATCTCCCAACCCACATACAAAAACAATCTGGGTGCAAA